TAGTGTTTTCAACTCTTATTTCAAAATACAAAAGAAAGTGTAGCAACAAATGCGAAAGACTTTGTAATGTAATTTGTTGTATTTAACATATTCATTCTCATTCAGTATAATAATTTAATTTAATTTTAGTTTAAGTTATGTTAGTAGGCTATATGTTAATCTAAATAAGCTACAAAATTGTTTTTTGTTGTTTTAATTTTGAACTAGGGAGGAATTTTTTTTTTTAATTAGTGTTTTCAACTCTTATTTCAAAATACAAAAGAAAGTGTAGCAACAAATGCGAAAGACTTTGTAATGTAATTTGTTGTATTTAACATATTCATTCTCATTCAGTATAATGTTTAATATGGTGTGTAAATAGAAGATGGGTGTGGCTCGCTGTCTGCGATGAAGGGGCGGGGCCGCTTGTGATTGGTGGAATTATATTATCAATCTCCTCCCATGCTTTTGTGTCGCTCGGTTCAAATAAATGTCAGCTAGCAATGTCAAGGCTTCAGGTAACACATTGCAGAGTAGATGAAGACATTTGTTTGGCCCTCCTCTCATGGCCAATAACACCAGCAGCTGTCTCAGTTTGACGGGAGTTCAGGGCAGGTCAGTAACAGCGGACGCGGAGCAGATCTCACCTTTAGCTCCGAGCGAGACGTGGCCCGCTGAGCTCGGACCAGCAGGTGGGCCGCATGCGGGTCCGCTGGTGCTTTATCTGCTCCGGCAGCCTCCAAACTGTAAATGACAAGCGGAAGCGCTGCTGTGATTACTGAATATAGCCTACTAAATATGCGAAATTCGCTTTCAGCAGATTGTTCCAGTTAATAAAATCGAACAATAATATTAATAGTATTGCACATTCTGGTCCTTAAGCTTAAAAATGCCAAAGAAAGGATAGATAGATGGATAGATAGATAGATAGATAGATAGATAGATAGATAGATTGATTCCATTCTTCCAAAAACTGGTAAAATTGTGATTTGACCTGCATAAAAAAGCCAAATAAATAATGGTTATTTAATGGGATTAATGTAGAAATGTTCTAAATTAATTATTAGGCATTTTTGCTCTGCACAACACAATCACACTGCAAAAAATGCAGCAGTGTTTTCGTCTTGTTTTCTAATGCAAATATCTAAACATTCTTCAATCAAAATACAGATAAGCAAACTGAGTTGGATATTAAGTTCTCTGAAAAATGAAAATTAAGTGAGAATATGCTTAACACAAAAATATATAAATGTAGGGGGAAAACGGAAAAACTTGATTTTTTTTTTTCTTTTAACTCAACTTTAAACTCCATTTTCAGAAAACAAGACTCTTAACTCATTTTTTTCTACTCGATCTACTCGAATGTTTTTTTGTTTCAGGGATTTGTAGATATTTGTAATGGAAAACAAGACAAAAATACTAAGTAATATTCTTTTTACAGTGAAAAAAGTACAAATAAATATAATTGGGGCAACAGCCTCATTAAACTTCTAATGAAATTATTTAAAATTAATCAAATTACAATCATTTAGTAATTAAAGTATTAAAATTGCTAAAAAAGTCAAGATATGCAATATATAAACTGACATTTATATTGAAATTTACAATGACCACTGAGCTTTTTCAATGCAACATTAAACCTTGGCAAAATAAACCAAGACGTTTTTTCATTTGTCTTATTCTCAGCAGATCCAAAGCACTTTTTTTTCACTGATGTAATGCTTTCCTTACATTAGTTGAGTAAGTTTTGTTTTAAAGGGGTCATATGATGCGATTTGAAGTTTTCCTTTCTCTTTGGAGTGTTACAAGCTGATTGTGCATAGATAAGATCCCTGAAGTTGCAAAGACTAAAGTCTCAAAACCAAAGAGATATTCTTTATCAAAGTTAAGACTCCGCCACGCCCCCCTAAAACGGCTCGTTCTAACACGCCCCCACATGTCTACGTCACGATGTGGGAAGATTTTTTGAACATTAAAGCATGTCAACATATTCTGTTACACCAAATACACAAAATAATGATCTTTAAAAAAGCATCATATGACCCCTTTAAGATTTTGTCATCATTCTCTTATTTATTTACCCTCATGTTGTTTCAAACCTGAATGCATTTAATTCTGCCGAGCAGAAGAACAGCCTAACAATTTTGGAAGCCTTTAACTTTTGTTGCATGGATCTTTGTGTTTCACATACAGGTTTGGAACAACATGAGGGTGAGTAAATGACATTATTTTCATCTTTGGATGAACTATCCCTTTAAGAGCATGAGTAGATGAATGTAGAATATCATTCTAGGTCAAAGCTTGTTAATTTTCTTAATGAAAACCACCACAAGTGTTGCCAGGAATTCATGGGAATGCACTTAATCACTCATCTCAAGCTCTGATGTGCACTTTTATCCCATACTTTAAGAAGTCAAATTTAGTATATCAAATAAGTGCCCACATACGGGCGGAAATCCACGCTCGCTGACAAACATATACACACACACACACACACACACACACACGCAAAGCAGCTGTCACTTCTCATTTGGTGGGTGTTTTCCAGCTGAGTTGGTGTGATAGGGCTGGGTGACTCAACCAGCGACAGTGTGTTATGATGTGGAGGAGCCTGCAGGCCACAGAGAGAGAGAGAGAGAGGTCTAGAGAAAATATCTACAGGACACACAGTTACTCCCAGTAAACGGAATCAAATGCTTCTCTATTGCTGCCCGTCCCAAAGAAATCATTTATTCAAAATACTGGTGATACAAAAAAATATATATTTCAGTTCTATTTGCTGTTCTTTTGAACTGTCTATTCATCAAATAATTTAAAAATAAAAATACATCATGGTTTCCACAAAAATATGAAGCAGCACAACGGTTTCCAACATTGATAATAATCAGAAATGTTTCTTGAGCAGCAAATCAGCATATTAGAATGATTTCTGAAGGATCATGTGACACTGAAGACTGGAGTAATGATGCTGAAAATTCTGCTTTAAATCACAGGAATAAATTACATTTTAAATGATTTACATTTTACAATTTTTTTACAATTTACATCTTTGTAGTATTTGTTGTATTGCCACTATAATCGAGGAACAAATTATTTAATTAAAAATCTGTATGTATTCAGGGGAAATGTGCTTAACTTGAATGCAAATAATGCAATCATCTTAAAATCAAAATGGTCCTAAAACTAAAAAATATAATCTCTTATTTAGTTGCTTGTGATTTTTGAGGTTTACCCAGATGTTTCTGTGAATTTCACCCATAACATTTCTCAAAGTGAGTGTTCAAAAAGTTTACTTTTCACTCTAGATACTTTAGCTCTTGATATGCAGACACTTGATTCTGTTTGTTTCAGACTAAAGCAGTCTGACAGGACCGCATTCTCTCTCTCTCTCTCACACACACACACACACACACACACACACAATATTCATCCACTGCATAAAGACAGATGCACAATCTTAAAACCTTGACCATCTCTCTCTCTCTCTCACACACACACACACACACACACACACACAGAGGTCTTACTGTGCAGGGCCGCTGGTCCGCATCACTCTGTGTTAGCATAAGAACAGCTTATTAAAGACGGAAAACATCACCATAGGCCAACCCTGAAGATGAAGGACTGAGTGAAGACGACAAAGAAAGAGAGAGAGAACTCATAACTGTCATATTTGTCTGTGTCCATCTGATGTACATGTATATTATTCATATTGTGAGACATGCATAAACGCTCTTTAAAAAAATGGAGCTGCAGCAACAAAACCTGTAATTCCTTAAAAAAAAAAATCACATGCACTGAAAAAATGGTAACATGTAAATTAACTGGTTTTATTAGTCAAAAATATTATTTATTAAACATCACTGAACCAACCTAAATGCACCAATTTATACTTAAAATTTTTTGTTGTTGCATTTGGTGACAGCTGCACGTTGCCAGTGTTATTTTAGTATCATTGGAATAAAATTATTTTATAGTTTATCATTTGACAGTTTGAATTACTTTGTGTTTTTGTCGTTTATTAATTTTTTTTATATTTCTATATTGTTTTTATTCATTTTTATTTGTTTGGCAAATATAATAAGTTTGAGGATATATATATTTCAGTTAACATTTATTTTAAGTATTAGTTTAGTGAAAACTACTTTAAAAAAAAAAAAACCTAGTAAAAACAAAGTATTAGTTTAATTTAATTATAATAACCCTGCTTTTTAGAGTGTGGAAAACTTTTGCTTAATTTTCCTGAAAATCTACTGAACAGTACTTGTGCTTTTTGCTGACATCAAAGTGATTCTCCTGTTCACATGTATATATTTTACATATGCATATCGCTGGATGGGTCATTTAGCATCACAAAGAATGAATTTACTTTACTTACTTTTTTACTTTTAGTCATTTAGCAGACGCTTTTATCCAAAGTTCCGCGGTAAACTAAACTAAACTAAGCTTTTTTTTTTTATTCATTTAACAAAACTCAAATTGAATTCAGCTGGACACACTTTCCTGTTTATCACAACAAATGGCCAAGCAAAGCACACGACACTAATTTAATTAGAATTAATAATAATAATATTAATAATAATAGAATTAGAATTAATTTAATTAATCTAATTTAATGCAACAGATCATGCTGTGACAGTTTAATTCAGATATAGATTAAAATATCTGACATTAACAAAGAGCAGCAGAAGATATTAATACATTCGGTCCATTAAATGTATGCGTGAATTCACAATGTTTAAACAAAAAGTGTGTTGAGGTAAAAAAGTAGCATTGTTGTCATAGTTCCATTTTTATACAGTACCGTATGTTACATTTAGGACTAATATCACAATAATTGTGTTGATTACAGAATTTTATAGCGTTTTCACAGATGTAGCTCAGGCTGTCAGTGGTGAGGTCAGAATATCAAGGAAAAAAGTGAGGTTAAACATCAAATAAAGTCAAATAAAAATGATTTAGACAACAATAAAATCATATTCTTCATTGTTTTTTGACTGAAAATTAAAATTGTCATCGTTTATTCACGTTGTTCCAAACCTATATTTCTTCTGTGGAACATGAAAAATAAATATTGTGGGGGTTTTCTGTCCATAAACTGAAAGCTACGGTGTCCAATGTTGTTTGTTGTCAAATCTTCCACAGAAGAATGAAAACCATACAGAATGAGTAAATGCTGACAGAATGTTGAAAATTTTTTTTTTTTTTTTGGGGGGTGCACTATCCCTTTAAGTCCTATTGCCATTGTTGTGAAAGCAGTTCTGTATGTTTGCTAAGAGACCAGCAGTCTGACTGTATATAAAAAGAGACCGCTGAGCCCGGCGACGGCTGCCACGGCGACAGCCCTGACGACCAGGAACTCCATGGAGTCCTCGAGCTTGGTGTGCAGCCGCAGCACCTGTCTGTGAGTGTCCTCGCGAGAGCCCAAGTTCTCGATCAAGTGACTGGCGAGTCCGCGCTTCTCTTTGAGTGGCATCTGAGCGCCGATTCTCTGTTCGGCCTCCTCCTGACTCAGACCGTCCCTCTGCATGAGGCGGGACAGCTGCGTCGCCGGATCACTGCCAAAATACAGACTCATGAGGTGAAGAGCCCAGTGTTACTACTGTTAACTCAAATGATTTCAAACTGTTAAAGGTGCTGTATGTAATATTGATAGCTAGCGGTTGAAATTCAAAATATTGGAAAGAGTTGTTTCTCCAGCCCCTCCTTCTCAGACTCGACATGCAGGTTGCCAGATTGAGGACACACAACAGGAACGAGTGCAGCTGTCAATGGAAGGCGACGAGCCTTACACTATAAGCTGATGAGTTGATTTATCCACGTTTTAATGTTCCTCTGGTCATTGAGCTTTTTTTTTTAGGTCTGGTAGAATCTGTGACCTCTGACCCAGTTCATTTACTGGCTTCCATGGCTGCAAAATGCTGTGTTTTCTGCCAACTGGCAACCAGGGCTTTTGAAATACTATTGGGTAAATTGGCAGTGGGCGGAGTCACACAGACCAAAAACATGAAACGCACATTTCTAAGTAGAATAATTGGCTGTAGCCTTGTGTGTGAACTTAGCATGTTTACTAAATATCTGCAAACGTACTATGGTAATTTTATGCTTTAGTAATTACATAACAGCACCTTTAACTGAAACACAGCTGAAATAAAATATAAATGTTAGATTACACATTTTTATAAAACTTAATTTCAAAAATGAGAAATGTTTCCTTCCCTGAAAAGTTGAAGTACTAAATTATAAAAAAAAATTTATAACTAAATAAAATAAATAGAAATATTTTTAAACAAGTAATAAAAATTTAAGAAGCACATAAAATTATCACAACTAAAATTAAAGAGAAAACTGAAAAAAAATATATAAAAATATTAATAAACACTATAATGTATATAAATAATTCTAACATAACACTGAAAGACCCTGCTTTCAATGTTATTTTGACATCTGCTTTAAAAACTAAATCAACACACGGTCCACTATAAAGCATTCAACCCAATCTGACTGATGTTATAGCGAGCAAAGAAAGAGAAAATGAACATCGTACCAGTATACGACAACAGTGTGGGTTAGGAAACGAGTGAGACGTCGGGTTTCAAAAAGCAGCGGCACATCCAAAACCACATACCTGTAGCCTAAAGAACAACAAACACAAACATTAGTTCATGAGATTTTGGCACACACTTCTATCATCATTTATTTGATTTTATGCATTTGTGAGTGTACCTTTAATGAAATACAGCAGTATTTGTTTGAACATTTCTTTATGTATTTCTGGGTGTGTGATGGAGTTCAGAAGTCTTCGTTTCTTGGGGCTGGAGAAGATGATCTGCCTCAGTTTCTGTCTGTCAATCTCACCATTGTCTAACAAAATCTCCTGTCCAAAGTGCTGCACGATCAATCTATACGCTGGGCTCTGGGGCTCCACCACTGAAAAAATATATATAAAAATATTAATAAACACTATAATGTATATAAATAATTCTAACATAACACTGAAAGACCCTGCTTTCAATGTTATTTTGACATCTGCTTTAAAAACTAAATCAACACACGGTCCACTATAAAGCATTCAACCCAATCTGACTGATGTTATAGCGAGCAAAGAAAGAGAAAATGAACATCGTACCAGTATACGACAACAGTGTGGGTTAGGAAACGAGTGAGACGTCGGGTTTCAAAAAGCAGCGGCACATCCAAAACCACATACCTGTAGCCTAAAGAACAACAAACACAAACATTAGTTCATGAGATTTTGGCACACACTTCTATCATCATTTATTTGATTTTATGCATTTGTGAGTGTACCTTTAATGAAATACAGCAGTATTTGTTTGAACATTTCTTTATGTATTTCTGGGTGTGTGATGGAGTTCAGAAGTCTTCGTTTCTTGGGGCTGGAGAAGATGATCTGCCTCAGTTTCTGTCTGTCAATCTCACCATTGTCTAACAAAATCTCCTGTCCAAAGTGCTGTACGATCAGTCTATACGCTGGGCTCTGGGGCTCCACCACTGATGCACAAAGAAATCACACAAATAAAGCACGTATTAAGTTAATAAATGTATATTAAATTATATATAATATTATTTTAAAATATTTAAATATATTTCACTTAATTATTTTAAAAATCTATATTAAATATATTATTTATTTTATTATAATTATTACATTTATATATTGTATTTATTTAATATTTAATTTATAACAAATAAATTCAGAATACACACACTTCCTAAAGTTATTTAAGATTTTAAATTGCATCAACGCCTGCTTCTACATCACTGCCTGTTTAGCCCCCTTCCTAAAGTTATTTAAGATTTTAAATTGAATTGAATTTTTCATTTTTCATTAATTTATCATCTAAAAAACTATTTTAAAGGGATCATAAACTGAGAAATAAAAATGCCCTTGATCTTTCGACATATAAGACATAAAACATCTTGTAAGTTTCAGAACTCAAAACTTTCTCGCTAGTTTAAAAACGGCTAATATTGAAGCCAAAATGAAAGGTGGTGGAATGTGACACTCTATGATGTAATAGTGTGGCTAAACCCCGCCTCCGCAGAAGAAGATCAACGCCTGCTTCTACATCACTGCCTGTTTAGCCCCGCCCACCGATTCACGCATGTAGTGTAAATAACGAGAGGCAAACACAGGTCTACACAGAAACCAAACGATAAAAATGCTCTGAAGACAATAAGACGCTGTTCAGTGCCAAGCTGTGGAAAAACAGTCTTTGCATCGCCTTCCTTCTGATACCAACATTAGGAAAGAGAGGATGAACTTTATTTTTACTGAAGATCCAGACCGCATCAGTAAGAACTTAGATTAGATTAGTTTACAAACAAGGCACAATTCGACACAGGATTTTCAGAAAGATTGAAACTAAAAGACGATGTTGTGCGATTATATTGGATCTGACAGTCACTCCACACCAGTGTGAGTTACTGTTTTCATTACATACTCACTATTGCTTCATCTGTTATTACAGATCGTTTGATTGTACTTAGTATTTATGCGTTTTTTTAACCTAAATCACAGCAGCGTCCATCTATGAAGGATGTAGCTGTCAAACACACACAAATGTTGGCCAATCATAGCAGAGGGCGTTTACTTCTGAGTCTACAATCCACCACACCTATTCAAACAGAGCGAAAACAGGACAGAAAATAGCCTATTACTTCTAAATTATGACGTTTTTTGATGTTAAAAATCTTGATAAGATTATAAACGGAACTCAGAGAACAGTACAAAATGTAAAAAAATAAAAGTTAGGACCCAAAGTCATGACCCATTTAATGATTGTTTTATGTTTAAATGCTTCAAATTAGTTTTCTAAATGGTACCTACCTTTTTTTTTAATGATTTCTTTAAATACATTTTTTCAAAACACAAAAACCTACATATGAATTTCTTTACAAAATAATGGTACTAAAGACAAACCAGCACTAAACACCTTTTCGGGCAACCACATCTGCATCGATGACAGGACAGCCCAGCTATTTCAGCTGTGAAGACACTGTGCTCTTCCCTGAGGCGATGCCTCCAGTTAAACCCACCAGAAACATGCTGAAATACACAAATCATGGTCATTTACTCACTAACATATATGTGGCTGGGGAATATTGATCAGTGGCGCCTTCTAGCGGCCTCCACTGGAATTACATTTCAAATTTGGGCATATAAATATGTAATTAAATACAAAAGTAGTAGGTAATATTTCTAATAATAACAACAACCTACATTATGATGGCTGTCTTGTTTATAGCTGGACATTGAGTGTAAAACTTAAGTTAAATTAGTTAACACATTTTGCTTGGGTTAAAAAACACTCATAGCACAATAATAATGTGATCAACGATGGTAATAAACAGTATTGACATTTTAAAATGTTAAAAACATGCAGAAAGCGCACTTACCCAACAGCAATGACCTACTTCATATGCTGCAAAGACATTACAAACGCGTTTCTGAATAGAAAACGTATACACGAAAATAAAGACGAGCCGCGAAGAAACCTTAAAACACAAACATGGAGCTTAATAGAAAGTATCTAAAGGGTTTGAGGACTCTATAATAATGCTAGATAAATATAATCCCATTATTTGTGTACATAACATTGACCTGTGCGCTTGCAATGTTTCTCTTCCTCCTCGTTGTAAACGAATCTAACGCGTAAACAGTATTGACATTTTAAAATGTTAAAAACATGCAGAAAGCGCACTTACCCAACAGCAATGACCTACTTCATATGCTGCAAAGACATTACAAACGCGTTTCTGAATAGAAAACTTATACACGAAAATAAAGAGCCACAAAGAAACCTTAAAACACAAACATGGAGCTTAATAGAAAGTATCTAAAGGGTTTGAGGACTCTATAATAATGCTAGATAAATATAATCCCGTTATTTGTGTACATAACATTGACCCGTGCGCTTGCAATGTTTCGCTTCCTCCTCGTTGTAAACGAATCTAACGCGTCAAATCAGCGCCGCCACGCGGCCTGGAGCGCAACGTCAAATCCGCTGCGTGGTATTTACAGCTAATTCTGGGTGTTCAGCAAACGCTGATTATCTTTCATAAAGAAAGATAGGAATGTATACGATTTTAAGTGAAAGTCTACATTTTCTCCCATTTATAATGATTGCTTAACGCCTGCCTGAACCAACAAACTAGTTTAATGTCATCTTTGGTAGGCTACTATTTATGCAATGGCAGACCGGTATTTTAGAGTAAGAGTAGAAATGGTAGATTTCCAAGAGGCTGTATTGAACAACCTTGCACTATTTTGACATTGAGTTCATGATTTTATCCTAAGCAATGTACAGTTTTCTTATGCCACTTCTGGTGTGACCTAGAGGTTAAAAACAAATAATGTTTTTACCACCCAAGGCGGTCAACCAAGCTGGTCTTGTTTGCCTCAAGTGAGCATAAAGGCTTTTGTTAGTAAGTTTGACCATGTTTAATTAGCTAGAGCTAGAAACTCTACAGTCAAAGATACTAATATGTATCATTTTAGGTACTAATATGCACCCTTTAGGGATAAAAAAAAGAAGGTACAAAAGTATATAACTTTGTAGGCCAGGGGTCCTAAATCATTTTCAGACCTGGTCTATGATAACACATCTAATAATGGTCTCTTAATTGTGGTTTTAATTGAAGTTTAAACTTGTATATTTTATTAAGTATATGCATTTTTTCCTTGATTTCTTCCTTTTTAAAATTATTTTATGGCTCAAACATCACCCAGATCATGCTAGACTTTAGTGCAAAAAAGCATGTGAATTGCGTGTAGGTAATATCTGGTCTCCAGGTAATGTCAGATGTCATTAAAGTGAATTCACTCTTTTAATGTTTTATGTATAATTTTTCCTTGCTAAATAACTTGTTGCATCAATGCCATTTTTCTTTATAATGACTTTTGTTATTATATGTGACCGGTACAAGTTTTAAAAATGCCTACTAAAAATTCTAAAATATTAATACTTACAAAAGATTGAAAATTATGTTTACATTTGCAATATTCCATGGGTTAAAAAGATTCAGGATTCCTACTTTGAGTTTTGTTTTTAATAAAAACAGAAATTAAGGAAAACCCCACAAGAAATGGAATTTCTTTATTGTACAGCACATGACTTTTGGGCACGTCAGAAGTGAAACCATTCACCATTTCACAAGTGATTTTTTGTTCTTTTTCTAGGATATCATGAACAAATTATAAAATTGCAAAAGTTCCATCTGACATGATTTTCGAACAATTAAGCAAAGCTGTTGTGCACAATGGAAACAACATCATAATATCATCAGAGTCATGTTCATATTCAGTCAAAGAGAGAAATATTTACACAGTACAGAGGGAAATTCAGAGCACCACATCACGTAATAAATGTACATTGACAAAGGCATATTGATATTTCCTGTGTAAATTACCCACAGGCTGTGAACAAAATAAACAGACAGCGGAAGAGAATGGCCTTGATTTCAGTTCTAGTAAGTGTGAGTGAAACTCACGCTAAAAACAGTGTGCAAATCTAAAATCAGTTAAATTACGGGTCAGTTTTTAGACATTGAGACTGTATGTAGGGTTTAAAGGTGTCAGCACCTAGTATATCATATAAAACGTACTAAAATCCTCTGGAGAATTCCACAACTGCAGTTTATGCTAGATGTTAACTCCTACTCTTAATCGCCAACTTTGTAAAAGACAATCCAGTACTTAATCTCAACTCCAGTTATATTTGTTTCAGTTATTATAAGGAAGTTATGAAGGGTTGCAAAACAAATGACACGTTGCAACTGTGGTATCATTTATAGTTAGTTGACAATCATCACAAGAGACAGCGTTAATCACTGCTCTACATGTGATTGGCACCAGATCAGCATGAGCAGAGCTATTTTAGTAAAAGTCTCTTTGTATTATGCTTGATAGTCGTCAAATAGTTCAGTGTCTCAGCCTTCATGCTCCTTACAGTACCCTGTAAATTTGTCTTAATTATTCATAAAATGTTGCTTTAAAAATGACGTGTCTTGTGCTTGTTTTAATAATGGTAAACATGAGAAAAATAATAGTAAATAGCTAAAAAAAAATTAGAAAAGTACAATTGAGAAGTGTCATAAATTATTAGCTTTTAATATTTGAATGGCTTATTAAAATGATCCGAGTCAGACTTTTGTCACAGTCAATGCAATGCAGACAATGTGAATATTAACAGCGTTGGAAAAGTTTGGATGGAAATACATTGGCCAAACACTGACCTGTAAACTCGTATATAATATTTAATTAAAAATTTTGGCAAATTTCTTCCCATCAGGCATCAGTATCAGATGCATCTAATATCCATCTTCATGCTTTGATAGTGTCTATTTTAATTTGTAGGCATAAAAAAATCTGTTGTCCTATACTAGTTATCTCATGCACATATAGGCTATCATACATATGCACAAAATGCTAATGGCTCTTTTAAAACAAATGAAAAGCGGACTGAAAATGCTAATGTACATTAATATCTACTGTATTACAGTCGATGCTTTTTCATTGTAAGTGAAATTGGGGTCCCGTTGAAGAGTAACTTAATTTGGAATCAGCTTTTCCTATACAAATCTGCATAACATATAATACAATAAATCGAAAATGCATTGTGTAATGACTTCAAAATTGCTATAACATCACATCACACATAAATGTGAACATTAAGCCTTGTTAATTTAATTTGAATTCATCTACTTAAGGACTAACGGTAAAAAATCTGGAATGTTTGAAATCTGAACTGTACATTTCAGATTGGCAATGCACATAACACATAAAGTTAGTATGAAAGATTGAGGAAATGACATCAAAATAATGAATATTGAAGGAAGAACGAGCAAGTTAGGAAGAGATACCAAGGAATATACTGCATCGGAACATAAGAAAATGGGTCTCTAAAAGTTTAATGTGAAGTTTCTGAAAACATCAAGTCCTTGATCCAACATATTGAAGACTCAAGCTTTAGCGAAATCCATCCATTCAAAAAGTCGATCACAAAGCCATTGAGAGTGAAAAGGTACTTGGGTACTTTTGGATGCAGTTGTTTGTAAGAGTTTGATTGGCTTGGAAATAGAAAGACTGTAAGACAAAGTCTTCCTCTTGTAGACCAGCATATTGTGTTGTTGAGTTGTGCTTTATATTAATGCACTCGCCCTGTTGTTTGGTATCTTGTATTCCTCCATCTGCAATGGCATTCTTTTCACTATAACTAGTTCTTAAATTTAATGTGATTCTTGGAACATAAGAAAATGGGTCTCTAAAAGTTTAATGTGAAGTTTCTGAAAACATCAAGTCCTTGATCCAACATATTGAAGACTCAAGCTTTAGCGAAATCCATCCATTCAAAAAGTCGATCACAAAGCCATTGAGAGTGAAAAGGTACTTGGGTACTTTTGGATGCAGTTGTTTGTAAGAGTTTGATTGGCTTGGAAATAGAAAGACTGTAAGACCAATTCTTCCTCTTGTAGACCAGCATATTGTGTTGTTGAGTTGTGCTTTATATTAATGCACTCGCCCTGTTGTTTGGTATCTTGTATTCCTCCATCTGCAATGGCATTCTTTTCACTATAACTAGTTCTTAAATTTAATGTGATTCTTTGTTTACAGAACACTAAGATGGTATGATGCCACCAAATTTGAGTTCTTTGACCCCTGAGTTGCATTCAAATTGATCAGTGAAAATATATTGTCATAGAAAGCCAAAATAATCCAAAAGCATGACAATCATTTTGGAAACGTCTATTAAATTATAACAACACAAATAGTCAGCCCGTGAAAATATCATTGGGTGACATTTGTAAAACAGTCATTATCAATTTGAACACATCTCTAGTTTGTCCAATTATTCAAGGCAGCTGCTGGGATTGATTTCTTGCTCTACTTCTTGGCATGAAACACCATGAGGGGGCGCTCTTCAATGCGCTGCCAGGGACTTTTCTTGTTCTCTTCCTTGTCATCGAGGTCATTGTCATCTTCTGGGCTGGTGACAGAGTCACGTTGCGTTTCGCTGTTGCTACTACGTGAGCTGTTCCCCCGGCTTCGACCCCTTCTCGGCATTGAAGACCACCTGGGTTCCTCGGGACCGTCATCCAAAAGAGGGGTCAAAGGGTTTTCCAGTGGAGAACTGGCCCCCATGCGGCTCACTCCTCCACTTAGGTCCAGAGGGTCATGGTAGGTTGGTTTGGAGTAGTGTTTCCCACCACTTGTACTGCTGGAGCTACTTCCTCCATGGCCCTTGCGTCCGCTTCCGTGGTGTTCCTCTTTGTTCTTGCGACTGGATGCGGACTTGCGCTCGTGTTGGGTATCTTGGAGACTTGTATCTACGTTTCGGTCTTTACTACTCCCGGCAGGGGCGCTCAACGTGCTTTGGGCGCTGTGGTTGCCACTATGTGTTCCACTGTGGCTGAGATCGGCACCTACATCTATGTAGGAGTGGCGCACGTGAGCGTTGGCTCGTCCGTCGAGTGATATAAACCAAGCACGAGGGTGTTGCTTCACCCCCAGTTCCAGAAGCTTCTTCTCCGTAAGTGCTTGCAGCTCCCCGTTCATCTGGGAGATGGTGGAGTCATTGAACAAAACGGGGAAGTGAACTGGTGCTGGTGGTCCACCGGGGGGCCAAACACTCTCATCAGAGCCTGCTGGAGAATCACCTTGTTGGGCTTCTGTATGGCCTGAACCAGGGGTCTGGCCTTGATGGTTTTGGCCTTGAATCCCACTGCTTGTACCTTGCAAACTCTGTCCATCTCGGTCCGCTTGGTTCGATCCATCTTTACCCTGATCTGTGGCACCAAACTCGGACGAAAGCCTCATGTAGTGGGCCGGGATCACAAGAGTGGGAACCATAGAACGGTACATGTTCTCCTTCATCTGATCCAGTGAGCTGCAGAATATAATCTGACCTGGTTGCGTGTTAAGCGACGTTGGGCGAGCAAGGTGATCCGGCCCTTGCAAAACCTGCGAATACTCCGGTGGCTTGTCAACAGTTGGTGGAGAAGGCGGGTCGGATGTGTAGCCACGGTTATCATTGACAACGTGCCTCCGGCGATAGTCGTGATCCTTGTCGTCAGGGCTATAGTTGCGTCCATATTCATCATGTAGAAGATTGCTATCCAGATTGCTGGTATCCGTGGATCGATGTACCTTCATGGGGAAACTCTCTGCATTCTTTTGGGCTCCTTTGGACTGCTTGGTCTTAGAGGAGTGCCGAAGCTTGTGGGCAGGAATGTGCCTGGTAAACTCATCCCGAGCACTCTTAAAGGCATGGGATGGGGATCCCTCGGATTTGTTGGCATCTAAGTTGCCATTGGAGGCAGCAGATTCAACATGGCCACCACAGATGAGGTTCAAATGGGACATGGAGGTGCCTTGGTCCCGCTTGGATCCGTTCAAAGCAGATGGAGCTTGAACCTGTTTCTGCTGCCGTCGGGGCTTCAGATATCTTCGTCTAGAAAATAGATGATGATATTTAGGAAAAGCACTCTCAGAAACAGTCAATCTTATAATCAACCCAATCTCAGATGGAAAAAATGGTATTATGTTGCTTCTTGCACATTTCAAACAACTTTCGAAGTGAAATGTCACATTCAAAATAGACGCATGTCTTTCCAATGAGCCTATGTTGCTTCTAATTACACATAATTTAGACAAACTAGTACACACCTGCAATAATAGAGTAGGACACAGAGCAAGACTAGTACCAACAGAGCAAGAGATCCCAAGATGGACAGCAGGAAGAAGGTGTGGTAGGCTGTGATGTCCCTCAGGCCTGGGTGAGACAAACCTGAGCCTAGTGTTCAAATACAAAGCACGATCAGCATTTGTGCACGTTTCCATGTTTGTTGAGGTACAAGTGTGTATATTGTGGCATGTACCAGTGCAATTGCATTTGAGTATGTTACCTGCTGAAGAACGGAAAGCTGCAATCCAGTAGCCAAGTTGGGAGGCAGTGAAGACCCACGTAAGCTGCGATCCCTCTCGAGTGATAAATCCTGTTCCGTTTCGTACCCATAGTCCTAGAGAACAAACGCATAGCATTCCTACCGCATTTCCAAAGTGAAGAGCTAGTATTGACTGGGATTAAGCAGGAGTTTCTTAGGCACTTCCATCGTCACAGATGGGACAATACATTATCGTTTTTTATTTGTATAGTTACACACTCTACTTTTGCTAAATAAAAGCATGCCTTCAAGCATTGTGAGTACCTGTCTTGGTGTCGTACATCCATACGGGTATGCTGGTGGCAGATCGTATGTGAGTATCAGAAGGCAGAGGCACAGAGATGTGAACTGGCTCGCTGACCTCAACCGCTCGACCCTCACGGTCAAACAGTTGTGCACTGACTGCTGCTATTGTTGTCAGGTCCGTCCAGCCATTCTCTCCTCCTTAAAACCATTATAAATATACTATATTATCTATAGCTCTATTTCATATAGCAAGACTCTCTTATATACAAGTCTCTTCGTACGGAGCATTTATTATGGTTCAAATATTTAAATATCTTTATATTGAAAGATTCTAATGGTTTTTGGACCTGTGTTGTTTGGTTCCAGAGCGAGTGGGTAAGGGAATGAGTTAATTTCATTCTGCTCTCTGGCTGTTGTTAAAACTGCAGTCAGTTCTGTGTAGGAGGAGTTAAACTGTAGGCTCCGCCTTGGAACCTGCAGCCATGGCTGGCTCCGCCCACCTGAAGGTTAAAACCGTAAAAGAAATTAAGTGCAAGAAACATTACCATACTACCTTTTTAGAGAGATTAACTAATATGCTACATAATCAAATTCAGTTAATTAAATATGCCTAAATGTTTTTCTTGAAAAATCAAAGGTATTTGTGGTGGAATTTTTTTAATGGATATGTAACATTTTGTGGAAACCAACATTATTCTGATTGATTAATAGATTGAATTCTTAAGCTTGGGAACCAATGAGTGTATTCTGGAATAGAAATGCCTTTATGCCAGTTTCCAATGTGTGTAGGGCATCTTTGCTTTGGATAAAAGCATCTGCTAAATTTCTAAATGTAATGCAATGATTGCACTATGTAGCTTGGTTGCCACTTAGGCAATACACTTTCTATGTTCTGTTATTTTGTGAAATGTAAGCCTCTCCGAGGCACGTCACTGATTGCCTTACAATAGATGCCTTTACATCTATGTATGTGTGTGTGTGTATGTATGTATATAAAGTTGTTTTAAAAGTCATTGATGTTTTCTTACTTGGGGAGCCATGAAACACCTGGATGACATCATCATATAGGATCAGTGTGCCGGGCTTCTGGGCCATCAGGTAAAGACTGACAGAGGCATATACTAAACGAGACAGAGATGTGTTAAAAAGGTAGTAAATTAAAATAGGCATAAATGTCTGTTACGCCATAGAGAGAACAGCATGTTAAAGTATGTCATTATAAACTTCACTTATATCAGAAATGGTCAATGTGACAATGACAGTGCCGTATAAAAAGTCTGAGAAAGTCTGCATTTTTTTTTTCCTATTGTTTAACCCTCATGTTGTGTTCTGGTCATTTTGGTCCAGAGAGGATTTTCTTTTTCCCGAAAATGGTAGTTAATGTTATCGGATTGGACTAAAATTGTCTTTGCTCACACAGTGTATAATAACTTCCCCCCAAAAAATTTTTTCATTTTTCAACCTTGTTACAGTTGGTGTTCCCGGCCAAAAATGACTGGCCTACAAATAAATGCTTATAAATTTCTTATTAACCTATATTATTATCAGATGTTGGATTCAGTCTTTGTATCAACTTTCTTTTTACCAATTAGCACAGGCTTTGCATTTCTTTTTGGAACTGACTGATCATAGGCAGTCAGATCTTAGCTTATACACCTCAGTTTTTGAGAAAACATTGCCAAAATTATCCACAAATAATGCTTTTTTCATGCATGAGATGCATAAGCTCAGATCAATGAGCTCAGATCAATGAGGCCTACGAGAAAAACAAAACCTGAGCTAACAAAGAAATCAGGTTGTCAAAAAGATAGACTCTTCAATCAGTCTCTTCCGCGGCTCGGTAAGCTTTCAACTTGTTTTTTTAGTCTCGAGCAAGACTGTACGACATTCACATTACATGATTTGACTGATTTTTACGTAGAAAGAGCGACAGCACACCGCATTAACATAAATTATCATTCATGTTTCAATGTGACAATGACAGTGCCGTATAAAAAGTCTGAGAAAGTCTGCATTTTTTTTCCCCTATTGTTTAACCCTCATGTTGTGTTCTGGTCATTTTGGTCCAGAGAGGATTTTCTTTTTCCCGAAAATGGTAGTTAATGTTATCGGATTGGACTAAAATTGTCTTTGCTCACACAGTGTATAATAACTTCCCCCCAAAAAATTTTTTCATTTTTCAACCTTGTTACAGTTGGTGTTCCCGGCCAAAAATGACTGGCCTACAAATAAATGCTTATAAATTTCTTGTTAACCTATATTATTATCAGATGTTGGATTCAGTCTTTGTATCAACTTTCTTTTTACCAATTAGCACAGGCTTTGCATTTCTTTTTGGAACTGACTGATCATAGGCAGTCAGATCTTAGCTTATACACCTCAGTTTTTGAGAAAACATTGCCAAAATTATCCACAAATAATGCTTTTTTCATGCATGAGATGCATAAGCTCAGATCAATGAGCTCAGATCAATGAGGCCTACGAGAAAAACAAAACCTGAGCTAACAAAGAAATCAGGTTGTCAAAAAGATAGACTCTTCAATCAGTCTCTTCCGCGGCTCGGTAAGCTTTCAACTTGTTTTTTTAGTCTCGAGCAAGACTGTACGACATTCACATTACATGATTTGACTGATTTTTACGTAGAAAGAGCGACAGCACACCGCATTAACATAAATTATCATTCATGTTTTCATAACCGCTGGCCAAATTCAAAAACGGGACTAAAATTAAATAATCTTTGAGAGCAAGGGGGCCCCCTGGTGTTTCGGGGGCCCTACGCAGCTTGCGTATTTTGCGTATAAGGAGGATCGGCTCTGATTTTGAAACATTGAAAACAAAGAATTTATGATACAAAATGAAGAAAAATGTCAGATTCCGAACAAGATGCAACTTATGTATAATGCACAATTTATACAGTTCACATTAATGTTTACTCACAGGGTAAACGGCTGGCGTGCCAACGAGACTAAAATTAAATAATCTTTGAGAGCAAGGGGGCCCCCTGGTGTTTCGGGGGCCCTACGCAGCTTGCGTATTTTGCGTATAAGGAGGATCGGCTCTGATTTTGAAACATTGAAAACAAAGAATTTATGATACAAAATGAAGAAAAATGTCAGATTCCGAACAAGATGCAACTTATGTATAATGCACAATTTATACAGTTCACATTAATGTTTACTCACAGGGTAAACGGCTGGCGTGCCATGGCACTGAGCTGGTGAGGTAATCTCTCTGAGATGCTGTAATGATTACCCATGTTCCCGTGCGGTACAGGAAGCTGACGACCTGCACGCCATCACTGCCTGCTTTGCTTTGTGCCAGCAGAGTCTGGTTACCACGAACAGCAATAGCAGCGTTGACCAGGGGTGAAAGATCACCGCTGTCAAACACCTGGACCCTCACCTGCACCTCTGAGAGAGATAAAACAAGTTCATATGACCAGATGCATAGCAAGAACATCTTCTGACACGTTTAGATTCAGAAACAAGAAGTCAATAATAAGAAACCTCAATTATAACCAGATATATGGCACACTAAAAGACCAAATGCATATAGAAATATCTTAGATTTTTAACACAGATAACTGCATGGTTCTCATAAAAAAGAATATGAGGTAGCTTTCATTTAGCATTCACAACTCACTCTGAAACAATATAGACAGCTAAAGTAATAAATGAGCACATTCATAATCAGCAGTCAGTGGACCTCAGCAAATCTTAGATTTGTATAATTGATAGACACACAAAAGCTTAAATGTGCTTTTTTAATGCAGCTATTCCAATAATGTGCACTTATTGTTTTCTGTCTATAAAGCCATGCGATGCATTTTGAGTAACATTCGTCAAAATCTGCATTTCAGAATTTGCATTCAGCAATCATAGACCGATGCATACAAATAATACGTTTTTGCAGTAGCATTTGGCTCGCTTGCTCGATGTTTTGGGCATAAAATAGACCAACGCTCCCTCATCCAGACCCGCTATGCGCCCCTTTATTCTCTACTCACCGAGAGCTTCCCTTTCAGGGATCGATTTACCAGCTGTCCCTTTAAAAACGGAAAAAAATATAAAGAAGAGAAAACGAGAGACGAAAAAGGATGGCATCTTCAAAGCTACATCGCTGTTTTCACCTCGTCGGCCATATGTGGATGTGTGTGTGTTTTTTCAGACATGGTTGCCAGCATCCTTCCGTGTGATGCGGGATGCTGCGCTGCCGCCGCCTCTCATTGTCAGTGGAAGAGGAAAAACAGCGGCCTCGCGTGGACAAACATTTAAATAAACCTACAGCAAATTTGTAGTAGGCCTATCTACTGTTTGTTTTGGGAATCTGTTCTGATTACATATAGAGAAGACCGCGGAAAGTTGGACTTCATGTCAGTAACTATAAGGGTTTGAGTCAAAATCCAATAACACAAAATTCATCTTTTTTGGTTTCAAACGCCTAATTCAAAAATTTCTTAAAGGAATAGTTTATCTGAAATGTAAATTTTGCTTAAAATTTCCTCACCCTCGGGCCATTTAAGATGTAGAAGAGTTTGTTTCTTCATGGGAACAGATTTGGAGAAATTTAACATTACATCACTTGCTCACCAATGGATGCTCTGCAGTGAATGGGTGCCGTCAGAATGAGAGTCCAAAGAGCTGATAAAAAGATCTCAATAATCCACAAGTAATCCACACCCCTCCAGTCCATCAATTAACATCTTGTGAAGTGAAAAGCTGCGTGTTTTTAAGAAACAAATCCATTATTAAGACGTTTTCACTTTAAATCGTAGCTTCGTCCTCTATCCATTATATTGCTTTCTCCAGTGAAAATGTCTTATTCAGGAGAGAAATATGCATAGATCAAGCAACATTTACAAGCAAAAACAGTCCAAAACAATCTAAACAAATATGTTGGTGGATTTTGATGTGAGAAGACAACAGGGGATGGACTTTTTCACTGGAGGAAGTATTATTGGACTCGTATTTTAGCCAGAAGTGATGGCTTGAAGTTAAAAAGCCTTAATGATGGATTTGTTTCTTACAAACACGCAGCTTTTCACTTCATAAGATGTTAAATGATGGACTGGAGTGGTGTGGATTACTTGTGGATTATTGTGATGTTTATCAGCTGTTTGGACTCTCATTCTGACGGCACCCATTCACTGCAGAGCATCCATTGCTGAGCAAGTGATGTAATGCTGCATTTCTCCAATTTTTTTTCTGAGGAAGAAACAAACTCACCTACATCCTGGATGGCCGAGGGTGAGTACATTTTTAGCAAAATTTTATTTTGGGGTAAACTATTCCTTTAAATTACAATATTTTCTTGTGAATTGTCATTCAGTCTAAAATCCCAATATAAGTGAATACGTCAACACAATAAAACCAATTTTTTAAATATATATATAAATGTCTGGTTGGGCCAAGTTGTCATATTTATTGTAATTTTTATTGTTTTACAATTGTTTGACAATTTCATAATTGTTTTGTTAAAATTTAGTTTTATTTAATGGCAGGTTTCATTATGACAACCATCTATCTGTGATATCTGATATTACACTAGTATTTTAAAATGGATACAAAGTGCTTTAGTGCAGTTTATCATAATAAATTAAACAAGACAGAATCTTTTCTTCAGAACAACTGTGTGTGTTTGAATTAATTGTGCTAAAGGGAAATACTCCATACCCTAAAAAGCGCTTCATGGAAGACCGCAAACAATGCAGCTGTTATTTGCCTCAAAATACCTAGAGGACGCTATTTAACTGATTATCCTGATATGACTTGATCATTAGTCAGAGTAAATTAAATACACTTAACAGTAGGTCCAGATTCATACAACAGTCCCAATTATGAACATCTTGACTTCAGTAATTGTGGGAAAGGTGAAACCTGTTCCGTGCTGTCCCACAGGTACCTCCTGCTGTGAAATAGCTCAGATGAACAGCTTATGTAAGACAAGAGTGGGGGGTCAAGGGGCTGGGTGGTCTTTCCCCACTTCTGCAAAAGAAAATGAATCCTGGGAAATCCATAAAGGGGATTAACAGTGAAACACAACCAATCTGTGCTAATGTCTGTAGTAGTAAGTCAGTAACTTTACTTGTATAACACTTTATGAAACAGAGAAAGACAATTATGAGTTAATAACTGACCAATTTTTCTTTTGTCCAGATCTGTTATTCAGAAATACATTAAAAGGTAATTTTATAGACAGTGACTTGAATACACTGATTTCAATGTTTGTAAACGTAATTTATTCATAAAAATATAAATATATATATAGGCTATATAATATAGGCCTATTATAGTATATTAGATGTTTTACCTTGAAAACATTAAAAACATTTTTTTAAAACGTTGTGTACACCCACATGGATTTAAGGTGCAAGGAACGTATTTTTCTACTTTTTCCTAGATGTTTTCATCACTTGCCATTTTCACGGTCATTAATTCTAAGTATTTGTGTAAAATGTTAACAAAATTGTAGGAAACTAACATCAATACTTCAACAGAATGTTAACTTTCAATGACCATGGCACATTTAAACAAGATTTTTAAAAAAAGATTCTCCTTTGTATCATCTCAGCATCGCAGACATCCTTATTTCATTGTAAAAGTATACATACATATATACATATACATACACACACACACACACACATATATATATATATAAAATCGTTTATATAATAAACGATTTTACATATATAAATAAATATATTTATTTATTTATATATGTATTTGACAATTTAAAGCTTCTTTTACCAAGCACGTGTACATCACTGTACATATTTATTTATTTATTTATTTCAGGTTTATTTGACAGGTACAATGCACATCAATAATACATAAATGTACAATGTGCCAGAATTAGCCAGAAGTCTATTTTGCATCTGCCGTCCCTGGACTGATGGTAAAATTGTCACCCTAAAAATATAAAGAATGAATCAATACATAATACTTACATACTCCAAAATACATATAACATTCACACTATTCCTAAAAAAAACATCCGCTTAAAAGTTATACTATACACAGAACCAACAAATCAATACCAGCTCACTCATACACACAATCCAACTGTCAAACAAAATGACAAACAATATATCAATAATATCATACATATTATGAGATGAATCTTGAAGAATACTGTTACAGTGTTTTGGTTGAGCAGACTGGTAGTCATGAGGGAACCCTTTGCTCCTGGTTGCCATAGCAACACTGTTGCCATAGATACATCTTGTCTGGATGTAGATGTGGGAGTGATTTTATTTATTTATATATAAAGTCTAAGTTTCTAAACTGTCTGAATGAGAAATTAAAGCATGACAAGGCTCGACAAAGGCAGAAAGAAGAAGAGTTTTGAAGGAAGTTTCCCATCGTTTACACAGGCTGGAAACTGACTCTCTCGTAGCTGTCGATCGGTTTTTATAGGCATAAAATGAGCCCTTAACAGAAACGTCTGTATCAGCACTCGCTGCTCTTGCCTTAATGGATCATAACTCAACATGTTGAACTAGTTGTTTGATTCATAATGGTTGGTGGATGGTGTTCAACTAAGTGTAAGTGAGATAAAGCGATGGACGTCGGGAGCTGCCTGCGATCATGCACTCGTATGCACAAATTACTGTACCTTTGCTGCAGTGAAATTTGAGCTGCCGTTTTTAAAAGCCTCTGTGTTTGTTTCACACTCTCTTTAGAAATGGCAGAAGCCCATCAGGCCGTGGCGTTTCAGTTCACTATCACTCCAGAGGGGATCGACCTGCAGCTGTCCCATCAGGCCCTGAGACAGGTCTATCTGTCAGGTCTCCGCTCCTGGAAGAAACGCGTCACACGGCTGAAGGTAAACACGCATTACACTTACTAATGGCTTTAAAGGTAACATTGCTATTTGCAATGCATTTAACTTCCTTTACGTGATGCATTTTATATGATAAATCTGGGATTTGGTTTAAAACAGCTTGTATTGTAGATGCTAGACTATGATACTATTATATATATATATATATATATATATATATATATATATATAT